CCATGTGAATGCAATGCTTCCTCAGTTACACATTGCTCCTGGATCACAGACGCTGATACAGATCTCTCAATGGAAAGTGTCTTAAAAACAACTAAGTAATGTTGTAAACTGAGAATTACAACCTATACATCATCATACAATTCAATGTTTTGTTTTACTATAGTAGCCACTGAATCCTGCAACAACATTTTTCCATGAGAAAAATGGGCAAATGCAAAAACCTTGCTAAAATTAGAAGTTAATATATGAGAATCAGAATCATGGCTTGGGTTAGAAAGGACCATAAAGATCATATAGTTCCAACCCCTCTGCAATGGACAGGGAATCTTCCACTAGACCAGGCTGCTCAAAGCTGCATGCAGCCTAGACTTGGACATTTCTAGGGACAGGGCATTCACAGCTTCTCTGGGCAATCTGTTCCAGTGCCTCATCACCCTCACACTAAAGAATTTTTTCCAACTATCATATCTAAATCTGCCCTCTTTCAGCATATAACCATTCACCCTTGTCCTTTCATTTCTTCCCCTTGCAAGAAGTCTCTCTCCAGCGTTCCTGTGAGTCCCCTTTATGTGCTGGAAGGCTGCTATCATTTCTCTTTTCTGGCTTAAGCAGCCTCAGCTTTTCAGCCTGTCTTCATAGGAGAAGTACAACAACCTGCTGAGCATCTTCATGTCCCTCCTCTGGATTTGTTCCAACAGGTTCATGTCTTTCTCGTGCTGAGGACCCCACACCTGGGTGCAGGCCTCCAGGTGGGGTCTGACCAGAGCAAAATAGAGGGGCAGAATCACTTCCCTCAACCTGTTGGCCACATTGCTTTGAACATAGCCCAGGATGTGGTTGGTTTTCTGGGCTGCAAGCACACATTGCCAAGACACACCGTTTTGTCCACCGACACATAAATCTTTCTCCTCAGAGTTTCTCTCAGTCCATTCTCTGCCCAGCCTGTACTTGTGTTTGGAATTGCCCTGACCCTTGCACTTGACCTTGTTGAACTTCATGAGGTTCACACAGGCTTCTCAAGCCTGTCAAGGTCTGTCTACTTGGCTTCAAATTCTGGGTAACAGTGGTTTATGTCACTTATGACTTGTCTTGTGCTCTTCTGAGGAAGTTCAACTATTGCCAGAATACCTGTAGGTTTAAGAGCTGAAGTGTCAGAGGCCACAAAGAGGCTCCATTTATCACAATATTTCTTGCAGGTTTCTGCTGTTTGCAGGTTTTTGGAATTCTTCTTTGAGGCACATAATTCTCATATAGACTTAATAGTGGCTTATGTATTACCCTTAAAGTAAAGGGGGAGAGAGGAATCTAAAGTATGATTCTGTTGTTTAATTCTATATTATCTCTCTAAAATCCCAGCAATCCATGTCCTGTTTTAAAATTAATCGTCTGGCTTCTCTTTACAATATTATCTGTAAGTAAGATTTCTTCTAAAAATTGCTTTAAAAGACAAATGCTTCTGTAGTGCTTGTATCAGAAAGAATTATATGGACCATTATATTCTGTAATGTAAAGTTACTAAAACACTTTATTGAGCATCTGACTTTAATCTCTGTATGGTGTTTATTATAATTTTAATTTTACTACTTTCAAGATCATTAAGTAATAACAATTATAAATTAGACAAGGTAAGGCTGTTATGACTCATTTACTCAACCTGTAGAAAGATGGCTCTTTAGCTGGCTCTAAATTTCAAGAAATGTGAAGAATGAGCTCAGAAACCTAAACATCAGGAGAAATCTTGACAAGTCCTCTCAAAAAATCTCAGAAATATAAATATAAAAGTTAAGCAAAGACTTTTGAAACTTGTAGACAGTATGAACTCACAGACATCTTTGTAACAGTGGTCTTTTGACATCCAACACCTGTCATGTAGGTACACGTGATGTGACCATAAGGGACTCCTCTAAGCAATACAGTGGCAGAAGAAGCAAGAAATTTGCAATGTAAAAATTAATTCTGGCTTCACCTTGGAGTTCTGCATTGTAGTCTCATCTGTAACATACTGGAACAAAAAAGGGTCTGTTATGACAGCACAGAACAGAGGCAAATACACTCAAGATTCCAAGGCTACTGCTGACAATGCTATCCTAGACGAGAGGCCTTAGATCCCAAGTGGCAGACATAAGATTCCCACATAAGCCAAAATGAGAGGAGATTTGACTATGAGAGTTGCTCCAGTTACCAGAGAATCAGTCAGTAGAAACAAATATTGTCCTCGTAGATACTACTCTTTCCCAGGGACACAAAGACCTGACATGACTGTACACTCGGGGGAGTAAACATCTTCAGAAGCATTTTCAGAACATCCCCCCCTGCACATTCACATGATCCCACACGCTCACATGTAAAACATAGTCCTTGCACTTTGTTTTGAACCTTCAAATTTCCTTTAGCATGCTGTTAAACATGCAGCAGTTGAGGTAACACAAGGAGTACTGTTTTACTGGAAGAGAAACTCTTAGCCAGCTGCAGCCCAAAAATTTAATTAAACGGTCTCCTGTCTTGAAGTTGTTCCCATTAGACTATTTTATTTAGTTATTTTATCCCTGTTGAATTACAAAAATAAACATTTTTATCATTTATCCTAACATAATCCCATTGCAAATATCAGTGAAAACTGATACAGTAGAAAGACTATTCCCTTGACAATAATTACGTAAATATTACCAGAAAATGTTTCCTCCTCATTTTGTAATGATGCCAAATAACAATGCCTTTCCTGAGCAGACCATGAAAACAACAGAAGAGTATGATAACTAGCATCAGATATCTAAAGGAGAATTAAAAGGAAAAAGAGAGTAATTAAGCTATTCTTTATCTCCATAGAGGGTAGGATAAGAAATAATGGGTTTAAACTCTGGCAAGGGACACTTAGATTAGACATTTAGGAAAAACTCCACAGGCAGTGTAGAATAACATGAGAACAGAGTGCCTGGGGATGCTGTAGACTTGCCGTCACTTGGGGTTTTTAAGAGACAAACATCTGTCAGGAATAACACAGGGTTACAGCTGTTCCAGCTTTGGGGCATGGGGGAATGACTAGAGGGTTTCCCAGAAGCCCAGTTGAGATTCAGTATTTATCAATGCCTAAATGGAGGGGAAAAATACTATGGTTTTAAAATCTGTTTCAAGGTATTTGAACAGAGGTTGGATGAAATCTGGATTTGTTATTTTAGTTTGGACCATAAATGACCTGCAAATTGTAAAACGAAATAAATAAGCAAATACAATATCTTCTGTCATCTACAGTCAAGTTTCATCATATTAAATTCAGTATGTCTTTTACAGGAATGTGATTTTGAAATGGGCTTCCTACATCTGAAGGAATAAAATACAACTTCATAATGTTAAATGCATGTGCTATACTAAATGAATTCCTATCTTTAAAACCATTTTGCAGTCATAAGGGACAAAATGTGACATTTACTTTGCTTTATGCTCACAGAAGGCACTAGGGATGATAGATAGTTCAAAAGCTTTTATAAGTATTTCACATGTAGACTACTCCCCTGGTAGTTAACGCAGGTGGTTCACTGACTCACTTGAAATTACTTCACCATCTTGTTTGGATGAAACTGTGTCATTAACACTTGAATTGTTAGTGATTCAAGCACTACTACTATGTAATTGTTGCAGCAATGCTTTCAGCAAGCTGACTATTTACAAAAATTAGTTGCATAAATGCAAGTTTTTCTCTTGGATTTTTTTTCCACCCTCTAACTGCAATATTTAAAAAAAAAAAAATACAGGCTCTTGTCACTACATTAGATGTGGAAAACAATCAGAGTGATGAATTTAGGTCATCCTTATATTAGTTGGATAACCCTATAATTGGTTATAGAATGAAGTTCACCTAAATGGAATATCCATGATACATAATATATACATATATAACCTAGAATTATATATCTATAACTCCATATTTTCCTTTGTATAGGCGTAAAAACCCTTTTCTCTTTGACTTTGTCACACTATGGTACAAAAACTGACCTAGAAAATTTATCCAGAGACTGTTTTGCACTCTATTAGCTATGATTTCACTCTGGTTACATTCTGTCCATTCACCTTTTATTAAGCCTCTGGGTTTTTTATCCCTTTGCACAGCGTTAGATAGTTAGTTAGCAAGACAGATGTGGCTTGAGCACATTTACTCCAGTAAATAAACTGTTCTGTGTGTGACCCAGAGCAGACTCAGGATGGCTGTAAACTGCAGTGAAGATTGAACCAGCTCCTAGATGGTCTTTGGAAGTTCCAGATCATCCATTCTTCATAAAAATACGACTCAAATTTTTTCGAGTAAGGTCTGTATTTGGAATGTCAAAATATTTAAGGAGGAGTAAAAGGATTTAGTTTTATGAAAATATTTTTAGTGATTTTTTTTAGTTAATTTTGAAAAGCAATAATGTAATACTGGGAAAGGAGCAGGTGTACTTCATTCTATGAAATTTTCATAATTTTGATTCTGAATGTGTTTTTTAATGTGTCTTTTAAGATAATTTTCTGTATTGTATACCAGATGTCAAGACATGCTGTCAAAACACTGTCCCTTGGGTTTCTGTAGGAAGTGTGGGCAGCAGCAGCAATATATTTTTCATGTTCATAGAGATTCCACGTGACACCATCTTGGTCAAAAACAGAATCCCAGCCCAACTTTGGGGACCTTGCTGATAGAGGACCTTGTTGATAGAGGACCTTGCTGATACTTAAGTCTCATAGGCAGTGGGTGGACAATAGCTGCAATGTGGCAGGCAGGATTTCAGCTCCTGCTGGTTCCTGCATTTTTTTGTTAAAGCCTGAATTTTACTTTCTCTGAGAAGGCAGGACTTCTACAGGTGGAAATAGGCTTTGATTCAAAATCCATGCAGTAAGTACCAAGCAATTTTATTTTCTGTCTCCCTAAGGAAAAGTTATTGACAACATTTTTCCAATTGGGCACCCAGGAATACGCAATAAAGAATTAATGGAGTACTTAACTCTTTTTAAAAAAATTGCTTAGTACTTGATGACTTTCTTTGGCCTCTCTGGTGTTTTACGAAAGTTTTATTTAAATAATACTTGCCCAGATGCATGCTGGCAGAACTTTCATATGTCATGACTGAGACTGTCTTCAGAATATGGTTGGGCTGCAAAACCACAAGAACAGATGCATGAACTGGCACAGGCCTTAGTCCTCTGTTTCTTATCTCAGGTACAAGCATGAAAGAGAAGGATTTTCAGTTCCGAGATCCCGTTTGTTTTTCTCTTAAAAAATATCTGAAAATACCTTCATAGGCAATGCCAGACATGATATCTTAATAGCATCAGTATTAAAACAATGCAGAGGATCTCTGACCACAATGATGCAGTCTTTCTTTTGCCAAAAAAAAAAGTAATACTGAGACTAGTGAAGAGTATTCAATTACGCTAACTTTATCTGAGACTCGGGTTCTGTTTTCCTCTACGAAAAGCAGTGGGTAAAAAAAAAAAAATAATAACAAGAAAGAAAAAGTAAAGAAGAGGAAAAACAGTGGGTAAAGAGAAAGAACAGAGACAAGGAAAGAAGAAATACAAGGAGAGAAAATAAATGGAAACTGAAATGGAAAAAGGGAGGAAAGAAGGGTGAAAGGAAAGGGAGATAGGAAGGTGAAGAATGGATGGGAGGATGGAAGGAAAAGATGATACCTTTAGGAAGGAAAAAAGAAAGACAAAATTGAGGAGACAGAAAGGTGGGAAGAGATGGAAAAAAAAGAAAAGAGTTGGACTGAAAGGTCCCTAAAGAAGATGGATAGGAAAAGAGAAATGGATGGATCTTATTTCCAAATTTTTCCCTTTCAGAAATAAAAAACATTTTCTGCATAAGTCAGGATACCCTGAGCTAAAACACAAGCTTATATCTGTATGCATTTAGAGTACCTGTAGAATTTTTTATAGAGGACCACAGACAAGCATTGTAGTGTCTTTGAAAACTACCCCTGAGAATATCAAATATTTGTCTATTTTACAGCTGAAAGTTGTGCAAATCAAATTCTACCTCTGCTTTATGGAAATCTTAGGTGCATAAAGGAACACTATCTCAGGTGATAAATGAAATTATTGGCACTCACTTCAGGAGTGTTCTGCTCAGTGATAATATCTGAGTACATACTGTCCATGTAGAGTAATTATTACATTTTGTGAGGGTATGTGTGAGAAAAATTTTCTACAAAGAAAACATGCACCTTTTTCTACCTTCCAACCAAAATTAGATGCCTCCTATAATGGACAGATACAACCTGGCTCAAGATCATTTGCAATTATCCTTCATCATTACAGGAGAGAATCAAGGGGCTTCTCCAGAATAAATGAAGTCTGAAGATAAGACCAGGAAAAAACCACAAATTTCAGAGTTAAGTTTTTTAGATTTGTTTTGAGGTGGGAGTTAATCTGTGCTATTTGGCACTTCCTTTGCATCAACCTTGCCAAAATTGTTATTCCTATCAGTCATCTCCTCTACATCCTTCAAGTGTCACTTCTGTATGACTCCAGACTGATATACCACAAAGACATCTCAATTTTCCTATTCTGGTAGAAGCCTTCCTCAGCAAATATTTGTTGTGCATAGAGTATACTGTGCTTTGGCAGGTTCTAGTACTCAGGTCAATTCTAGTATGCTCACAAATCTCAGAAAGCCTTCACGATATTACTCAACCACTCAAAATTTATGAAATCCTATAGCTATGCAAATAGAGAAAAGAGATGTTTATAAAATTTCCAAAGAACAGCATCTGTCATGAAAGCAATTCATAATAGTGAAATTATTCTTTTTTCCCACTTTATATAAACCAAAATATAATATATGAAATACTGATGATCACACACTTTGTGTTGTGATGTGTTTATATTTCCATGAGGATATGCTTTCACATAATTAAAAAAAGAACATTGTGTGTATTTTACATGGTTTACTATTATTTATTGTTTTGGTGGATATCTAACAGAACTCTTTATATTTTCATAATCACTGATTAACTCTATAATGTAGACTAGGTTTGTATAGTTAATTATTATACTACTGCTCACTTAAGCATTGTAATAGTCCTTGAAGAAGCTTTTTCCAAGAAGAGGATTGAATGCTTTCAAAGTGGAAATTGTGCTACTAATTCATTGTTTTTTTCAGAACAATTTAAAAAATGTTACCATAAAATGAAGGACTAATGCTAGCATTAGGATTTGACAACTGAAATGGAAATCATCCTTTCAGGAGCCACAGGGCCTAGATTTCACATATCCATATGTAGATATATTTATTAATAATTTGGGTAGCCATATATTTTAGAAAAACCCAGGAATTATTAAGTGGCACATAATGATGACAAAGTGGTCTATTTGACAGACATAACCCACTTATTGCATAGGTTTTTTGCTCTTCATACTTGTTTCCATACACTTAAAGACTTGCCACTGTTGGATAAATGTTGATTTTTCCTGTTCTTTTTCTGAATTATCATAGAAAAAGGTTCAAAGAAATGTATGGAAGAAAAAACTGTAGAAAATGAAGAAATATACTATTTTCTTATCGAAAAGAGTAACAGCTATTAAAACATGCAGACCTTGTTCTGCTTCCATTCACTCTAAGGGATATTTATTATTGATTTAGCACCACTGCAGACTTAGCAGGTTGGTGGAGCTTTGCTGAGCAAAGGGAGACAAGACCTATAAACACATATTAGATAGAGTTATAGTATCAAAGTAATAAGAAAATTATGTGAGAAATCTCTTAAAATCTCTTCAAATCACAAAAAGATCCAGCCGAGCACATGGCATGACGTGAATGTGAATTAGGGATTTGTTTGCCTATACAGAGAGGTTCTTTTTGATCCATAGCTGCCTTTAGAGTTTGAAGGTTTTTTTTCCCTGTGTGCAGGCTATCCACACAAACCTGTCTGGGTATCAGGCCAACAGCAGGAGTACTATCTGGATACAAATGCCAGTAGAGATGATGTGCACTGAGCAGAGCAGCCTAAAATAAGAGAAAAACTATGTTGGTAGCAGCAATGCATTTCACGAAGTATCCCTTGCTTCTGTTCAGTACAAACACTTATCATCCTTTTGATTTATATTAAAATCAAGCAAGATTTATGGAAAGCAGATAACTGTGATATTGATATCATTCAGTATTACAAAGATATTTGCTGTTGCTTGGTTTCTTAGTTCAATAGTTCTCAACATCAATAATGGAAATAAAAGAGAATGTCAACAGTAAGCTGTGAATTATATAAAATTTTCATGTATAGCTGTAAAAGGTACCTGTTTTCTTTAACAATTTTATTCAAGGAACAAAATGGGGTTTTTGAATATACTGACCCCTAAGCAGTGAAAGCAAATCACTTTCATGCTTGTGAATCATCATATTGCACATGTTTGAAATTTTGTTGTCCTTAGACATCACTATGGCTGTTGTTAGAGACAAGATATTGCATTAAATGTGCATTTGACATTCCTAACTTTGAATATCTCAAATGTGAAAAAGCAGTGGAAAATTTTTGAAGGAATCTAAACGTTTTTTCCTTTGCTTTTTGACCTTATCAACATGTTTTTCCTTCTAAAATGTGAACACTACAAAAGATGGCCTAATTTTGTGATTCTCCCTGCATATTCTATGTCTATATGTCAAGTATATTTCTTACATCATAGTGGTATGCAGAGAAAAAAATTTCATTTAGTTATTTTTTATTAAACCAATTTATTTGTTCCTAAACTATTAATTGTATTTACTTCTTAATACAATAGTGATTATATTTCAAGATGGTTCTACATTATTCTAGTTCTACAGACTTCATGAGGCATGGTAGAAATGAGCAGACTAAAGCACTAAGGTTTGATTTTATTTCCAGCATTCCATGTAGTTTTAGATAATTTTGTACTGTATGTGGGTAGTTTTACTTCTATGTAAAAATTGCCAAATCATAACCTTGTTCCTTAAAAATAATACTTTGTACATTCTTCCAGCTCCAAGACGGACAATTCTGAATTTCTCCTGAGGTGCTAATATAGGTCCCAGTGCTGAAATCTCCATTACTGTCAATTAGCATTAGCATAAAAATGAAAAATTTCCAATGCAAACTACATTTTGGCAGATGATTAGTGGACAAGGCAAAGGCAATTTTTTCTTTAGCAAGGGACATTGTCATCAAAGATATTTCATCTCCCACACATTTTGATTGATAACTTCTTACAATTACACAGTGGTAGGAAACACAACTAATGAGTACTTCTTAATGGCCTGGAAATTCTGCTACAAATATGGAATTTCACACTTTTAAAAACAACTCTCCCACCCCAAACTAGCCAATCACCGTCCTGGGTAAAATGAAACTCAATTTTTAAACTTTCAAGGAGCAAGCTCCTCTTTCTGCCTAATTTCCTCCTTCCGCTTAGTTGTGCCTGTTTTTCCTACTGTGAGCACCTTCGGTTTTGCACAGCTCCATCTATTCTAAGACTCTCTGCTCATCTTAGTGTGCTTTCTATAGTGACCACCAACATTACTCCTTTAAGGGTTCTTTCTTATTTAACAGACAAGGGAAATTATAACAGAGTTGAGAAAAGGGTGGACAGGCTAAGGAACTTGCTGTCCATGAGGAGTTTGATTAGGCTTACACAATGTGTTCTGTGTCATTCCTTTTACTGGAGCCTGGAAAATTACAGGTATTGGTTTGACAGTATATTATGGTAAATTTTTTCTGTACTCCACATGCACTAAATTTCCAGGAATCTTTAGTGGTTGATCTGTTATTATGCGAATCCTTCTGTCTGTCCCTGAGATTTCTAAAACACCCAGGGACTTTATCTCAAATACCTCCTTACTATGCTGGATACGATACTGAAATGATCATACTCATGCCAATAACAGATAGTTTTGTGAAATCTCCAAAAATTATTATAAAATCAGTTGCTGAGTCATTCTTCTCTTGCTTTTGTGAAATTATTTTTGCTCAAAAATCACATTGCAGCAAGCATAAAATATTTATCTAGTCCTTCTTTACTGTACTCAGTTTCATCTGTGTAGCTGTGAGGATTCTGGGCTTTTGGCAAGGGTCTCATAGACAGATGATGGCAACCATGAGCTTGACAGAATGAGGGAAATTGGAAGAAGGAGATAGGGGCAAACCTGGTTGCCCACAGGGCTAGTATGTTTGCTGAAAGTTATTCTGCAGCCATTAATGCACCTAGCATAGTGCACGCCCTCCCTGATTCTTCCAGACTTAAGCTGAAAAGGGCACAAAGGCAGGTCTGACTTCACATCTTGGATGCTCCCCTCACCCTGAGTCCATATTCCCTACCCAGTTGTCAAACCCTCATAGGGGGTCTTTTGGGAACAGCTGGCCCAGATATACCTGTCCTGACTGTTCCCTGGTGTGGGGAGTGCCAGGTCACAAGGAAACGTGTACTTCATGGATAGCACAACAAGGCATGAGGTGAAGCTGCCTGAGGGTGCTCCTGAGGACACTACCAGTAATGCTTCTGAGACTGATAGCACCAAGGTAAGGCTGAATTTGAAAGTGAAGTCCCTGCTCTTCTTCAGCAAATTGGTGAGGGATCACAAAAATATAGACTGTAGTCTTATATATCAAACAAAGCCTCTTCAACAGCAATGAAATGAGAAGTTGTAGAAATTAAGAAAATTATTAGCTTAGACTATCTTCGTCTAAAGTAGGGGGAGGCTGTTTATACATTAGCACCTTACCTTCTTTACCTTAGGACCAAAATCCAAAAGACCAAGTGACAGCATAAAAACTTTAACAGAAATCACAGTGTGAGACTTGATTCAGCTTTTCTTTTTGATAATGCCTAAAAGACTGAAATCTTATTTATTTCACATACATATTTTTTTAAGAACTTCTTTGTTTGCTGCCAGAATTTTTTATTGCAATTTGGCTTGGAAAACTGAGTAACTGCTTTGCCAGAAAGCAGTCATAAATAATGGTGTTAGACCCCAGTAGATATTATTATCGATTGTAAGAATTCCAAATGCGGATGGTCACAATTCCTTCGTTAAACTGAGGTTACTCAAAGTCATCATTACAATTAATTACTATATAAGTTTTGTTACAGATGGAGAGCTAATAACTTCCCTGGTACATTTAAATCATCACTTAACTTTTTATTTTTACTGTAGTGCACCAATATTTTAGTAATAACAATAAAATGAATAGTTATTCCTTTAACAGAAACAATATTTCACAATACAGAATGATTAGAGAAAATTGATAGACCAATTACCTTATGTTTTCTTTAGTAAAACAAGGTAAACTGGCAACAATGGCTGTGTCCTCCTTAGTTAGTCTTGCCAAAGATTATCCAAGATTAAAATATTTTTTTAAGCATGTGTAGATGTTCTTTGGCTCTTTGGGAGCGATTTTGATATTCGTGTTCATCTACTGTGTAAGCTTTAACTACTTTTACCTAATGTTGAATTCATTTCCATGTTGTGGTTTGTAAAGTAGGTTCTAAAGACTGAAAAGATATTGCAGAAGTGGCAAAGAATTCCAGAGATGAGACAGAAAAATATTGCAATGGGAAAGCAAACTCTGTGACTAATTGGTCTCACATGTGAACTCTCTTAGGAATCCCTGTAATTACGCTAGAGATGAATCTTTGGATCTCCCTGAAGGGTTTCTCAGAATTCCTATGAGGGAGTCAGCAGCCCACTGGCTTTTTGTCACGTGGTCTCTGCAAAAAGTTATTTGCATTACAATCCAGATAAGCAAGTGCTGTACAGTGAATCCTAAATATTTAGAAATAATGAAGAGCTCAGGCCCAATCTAGCAGTGCTGATATGTGCAAAAAGTTCGGTTAAGAACACTGATCCAGCTGGTAGGCATTTTTTAATTACTAGGTGGTATAAATTAGATTATATGAAATATATGTTATTATATAACTTTGGAGATAAACTGAGTCTAAATCTGAAAAAGGAAGTGGTTTTGGTAGCGCTTTTTCAGCTGTTCTTGGAAGCCTGTATGAAATGGCAGCATAACTATTTTGCATCAAGAGAACTAAATGTAATTTAAAAGGAAAAAGAAATAAATATGTCACTTTGATTTTTCTTTTATTTCCATATTGCTCTCTTGGGTTATGCATTTCACTTTTGCTGTTCCACAAGGAATTGCAAACAACAGAGGTCAGGATTTAAATTTTCCTAAATACTTTCATAATGCTTTTCTGTTTTAAAAAGGGTAAGTGTATCAGGATACACTTACTTATAAATGAATGTACATTAGTCAGATCTCCTGTTTCTTCTATACTGCAGCTTAGACAGACAACCTACAATACTAATAAAAAAGGAAATTTTTATTTGCTCTTTAAATAGATTTTGTCACTGTTAATGAAAGAAGGCAAAGTAGTGAGAGGTAATTAGATATAAAAAAATGCAGTAACTGCATATTTAGAAAGTACGTCAAAATATATTAATGCAGTCTTTCCAATGTAAATATGCAGGAAATAGCTACTGATTTATAAGTGAAACTGTAAAAAATGTGGTAGTGCTCACTAGCAACAGTTCTATACCATCTAGTGAGGGGATGAATGTGGTTATTAGCAATTAAATACAAGTTTCTGAACAAAAAAATGAAACCCTCTTGGAAGGTACTGGCCAAATGAAATGAATGACAAAATCCAGTGTTGACTGTTATCATTCAATATGCTTCAGAAGTGATATACATCTGAAAAATAGTATCCTTTCACACCCCACCCTCCAACTGCTTAGGGAGACATATCACCTGAGCAGCTCAACATCAGCATTATTGCAACACAACATTTCACAGAGGATGCCAAAGAAGAAAGAAATACCCCCCAATATCTATAAGAAAATATGAAAACATATAGAAAAAACATAATAATGCGTGTTTTTCTATCATGCCAGAAAGGAACTAGAGTAAAAATATCACAGATTTTAGCAGGTGCATGCTGGATATAGACATATAGCATCTGTCAATTACCTCCATATCTCGAAAGGGATTTTTTACCATTGTCAAAAAACAATCATGTTCTTCCCATCATCCTTGAAACATCTCATTTTCATGTTCTTCCTTTCTGTACTCCTCCTCTGCCTTTCATTTCTCTGCAGCGGCAGAAGACAGAGCTAGGAAATAAATAATGTATGAGAAATAAAAATAAAAAAAATCAGATTTATTTATAAGGAACAATAGTTTAATTCATGAAGCAATCTTTAAAGTGCCTGAGTCTTGCAGCTGGTGGTGAGGGTAAAACCTTATCAGGGTTAAGCATAGAGCCAGTATAATAAAGATTCCAGAAGTAAACCATCAATAAAAGAGGATTTTAAGACTCAAACACTTGCTGGGCTTGCTTTTCTCCTTTGGGCAAGCTTTGCCTTCCTTTCCATTAGCCTAACTCTCCCTGTATCTCTAACCCATGTAAATCCCTGCTCCAGTTCCCCTCTCTGTGTCCTTTGAAGCTTCAACATGGAGGGATACCCTGTTGACACTAAGTATACCAGCCTGCCAAATGTAAACCATGGAAAGAAGGCTAGTTCCTTTTCCTTTGTCAGTCACTTACATAAAAGCAAGGAGCAAGTGGATGCAAAAGGCATGTGTTTGGTGGACAAATATTCAAGGGCAATATACTGCAGTATTTCATGTGGCTCATGTAGATTTCTTTGCTCCATAAATTCGATATTGCTTTATTAAATATGAATTCTAAGTGGCTGCCATCCCCTAAAGCGAGTAAAACCCTTCCTCGATGGAAAGTGACTCTCTGCAAGTTTGCCCCACCTGCCAGCGCCAGGTGCTCCCCACACCCAAGCTTTTTTTCCACCCCTCAGAAACAGCTCTCTATTTATACAAACCAATGGGGAATGGTGTCAAGAATCAATTAGAGGGGAATTTCTGAATGCAGAAAGTTACTTGTTGCCTAGCAGCAGCCCAGCAAGCCAGGCTTGGCTTTGATTCATTTAACCCCTAACTAACTAAGACTGCCAGATTATTTTTCCTCATCGACTTTAAATGCTGTCTCAAAATGTACAGTGGATAGAATTTGTGGTGCTTCATTTTAAAGAAACCCTTCAGGAGGCTTTCCAGGGTACTGAGCCTCTCAGAAGCAAGGAGCAGGAGTGAAACTCCCCTGACTTCTAGAGCTGGGCACAGGCCAGTCTGAGAATCTCACAGCCAACGACTGGGATGGACATGGCTTCGGGAGGACAGAGTCACACCAAGGATCAGGAAACACTAAGTTATACCTCTCCTGAAAATTTATGTCTCAGTCTCTGTTCTTCTTCCTTAATAATTTATTCAGCACAGAGGAAAAGATTGTTCATTTGCATAACTAAATTTTTCAGTCACAGCAATCAGCCTATTAATAGAAACCCATCTATTTGTCTGTCTATCAACTTATATAAAGTGTTGTGTTGTCTTTTATGACATGATATTTTCAAGGTCAGTAGCCCATAAACAACAGATGTAGAAGCAGAGAAATAGCTTAATCCTCAGGTTCAGAATATTCTAAACTAGACTTTATAAATAATATATATCAGTCATGCAGAATAAGTCTATACTTCACTTTTCAGCACTACATGAGCATTTCCAGGAAGACGTAATATATATTCACTATAACATCATTATCAAATGGGGAAAAAATTACAATTAAATTTTTAAGAGCTGCTGCATTGTGGCTTTATATTGAAATCAGTGCTTTTTAGTCAACTTACTAGGCTGCCATGTTAAAACATTTTAGTAATCAGTGCATTGAACTTGTACCAAAATGACCAGGCATACTAATTCTGTTCACAAGCTGTCTGAAAATGAACATCTCTTTAATACTTTGTTATCTTCACCCATATTAGGACTTCAAACAGAAATTTTTCCATTATAGCTCCATTTTCAACTGCAGTTTTTAATAGTGAACTGTTCTACCAGAATGTCCATGCTTATTATTTGCCTAAAAATTATTTGTGACAGAGAAAAAAGTCTGAGCATTTCCTGTTCAGAAGTTTGAAGCAATTTCCACACTGTACAAATTACACTTTTTTCATTGTAAGCTACGTTACTACCTTTCACCAGATTACATTGTTGTCTCTATCTTCATTTCTGCTTCTGACAATCCTGTTTAGATGCAGCTCTGTGTACAAGAAACCTGGTCCATACCAAATCAAGACTATTTGGTTCAAATAAATAGAAGGTTAAACTAAAAAGACAACATTCCAAAAGACAACACTTTCAAAAGCTACGCTGTCCTCTCTGCAAAAGAGAAAGCCAGATCAAACCAGCCTCTTTCCTCATTCCTGCACATCACAACCCGTCTCCTCTTCCCTTAAAAGCCCAGAGCCAAGGATTTATTTAGAACTTCATTATCTTCAGTTTGGCCTAAGCACAAGGTGACAGGCAACAGCAAAACCAACAGGATATATATGGGAAGACAGGCCAAAGCCCAAGAGTTGAAATTTGAAATGTGTCAGGAACACAGCTCTGCTTGAGGGTATTTTTTAGGGGAAATAAACACAATGCAAAAGCAATTGAAAAAAATTACTACTGAACATGCTCTGAAGGCCTCTAATGTGAATTTAAATTAACGAAGTCTGAAAAACCTTTATGTAAAATGCTTGATAAGATGACTGCCACTATTTAAGACTACTTCTTTAGAAGAGCAAAATCAATTCACTGTTCCATGAAAGCAGGCTGAAGTCACATAGAAGTAATAGAATGTAAGAAATTCAAAGGAAATTGGTACAGTCTGTTGGGTTCAGGCATCAGAAGGCTAAATTAAATACTTGGGCACAGAAGCTTTTTAAAATCTGTATTATCACATTGATCAGTCCAATTTCCCACCAATGCATATAACTTTCAGCAGCAAGACAGAGACCATTAATGTTGTAGTCTTTTGCTTTTGCTGTTAAGGGATGAAGCTCTGAAACCAGAATGCATTTTCTTGAACAGAAATGACGACACAGCAGTCTTGTGCTTAGTGAAAAGAAGATTAAACAGGTAAGAACTCAAGACTTATTCAAGTGATCTAAGGTCATATGCACATCTCATACCTATACCAAACGGAATGGCAAAATACAATAATTTAATAATCCAGGAACGTACTTATTATGCAGAGCTCTTTTCAAAGGCCAACAGTCTTGATGAACGGTGATAGCACATTGTCCAGTCAGAGACTCTGAACAATCAAGTACTACTGCAACTTGAGCAGCACTGTGAGCATGCCCAGGAGCACACCACAGTGCCAGCAGAAAACCCAGTACTGGCAGTCTTCAGCTCTCAGCAGTAATTAAATAAACAAAACCCTCCCTGGTTTACTTACCCCAGTAAAGACTGGAAACAGTCACTAATACGAGCTTCTCAGGAGTGTTATTTGCATCAGCAAAAGAAAATTTCACAGACAATAATGTAGTGAAACCATAGCAATAGCGAAGAGAAACATATTTCTATTCAGCCTTTTTAAATAACAATTCTTTAAGATTAATTTAAAAGTCCATTTCTAGCTGTTGACTTGTGGAAACACATCACCCTTTTCTTTTACCCACATAACTGAGGTAAGAGACCTATATTGTTTCCAACTTTGTGATAGATTCAGTGACTCAAGTAATGTCATTTTTCACATCTTTTTTTTTTCCCTCTCCAATACAAAGGGGATACTTAAACTATTTACAAGAATGGGTTTGTGAAGCTTTATTCATCAATAACTGCATGTAGTTTGAAAACCTGGAAGTGTTATATAAAATGCAAAGTGTAACCTAATACCACTTCGTTCTTCAGTCTGCTGCCACGATTTTCAGCAGCAGTTTTGAAAAAAGCTCTCCATGCCTTAGTGCACCCACACACTTGGTGAATAAGACACTTAGGATTTTTCACCACCCCAACAGTGATTCTTTTATCCTCCATCCATGTATTTCCTTATATTTGTTTTGCATAACTTTCCTCACAAATGCATTTTCTGCTTTTCAGCTTTTGAGGTACCCTCTGTATTTCAGAAACATTTTGAAACTGCAAACCCAAAGATGCATTTTTAATAAGAATTTTTATTTTTTAACTTGAAAAAGAAGATCAGTTCCATATCTTGCTAGTTTCTAAATTATGTTGTGTATTTGGTATTAAAATGTATAGTCTGATTAGTTTATTCTTGGGGATAGGGAGACACTTGTGGTTTAGAGTAATATGAGAATGAATTAATTTGTTTTCTAGAAGTCATTGGTTTGAGTAGCAACTATTCAAGCAATACAATCTGTCCTGCCCATCTACAAACCCTGCATAAGTTAAATGTGTTTTTTTCATTTTTTCCTATTGTGATGATTATGTTACCCAATACAGGTGATTTCAACAGATGTAATTTTTTTTATATTAGCCATAATAAACCAATTTTGAAAATTAGATTGCCAGAAAAGACAAGAATAAGGAGCCAGTAAAAAAAGTTAGGTGTTAATATTAATTTTCATGTCTTCGCAAAATCTTTCCTACGGATTTCTATCTACAGCATACAATTTTGCTCCATCAATACATTTTTAATCTGAATGTGTGGAATTACTCCCACTCTTTCTGAGTCATCTTTAAATCTAAGCAGTATTAATTCAGCTAACTTGAGGAGGACATGTTCTTACTAATGAAGGCCAAATGCTTGCTCTAAGTAACAAGTTAGCAAGAAACTTCATTCTTTTCAGGACTCTGGGTTCCTGGGAGGCATTTCCTGCATATTCAGTTAGTAATAAAATCTTCAATTAGCACTAGAGGGCATTGGAAAACAGAATGGTTTGTGTGCACTGAGATGCAAATGCTTTTAGCAGTGAAAAGGAGCAATTTCTTTCATGTCAGCCTGCACCAACAACAAGCTATTTTTGTTTGTTTGTTTTTCACTGTTAAAGATTCACATTTTCAGTGAAGAACTGAAATGTTAGCAACAGGGTTACATCATTTATTCTCCCTAGTGGATCTACCTGCAACCTTGATCAGTCATATTTTACATCTACACATCATTTTTCTCCCCCCAAATACTCCTCAACCTATTTGCATTTTAGATCTGGAGTCAAACATTAGGAACCTTCTGATGAAATCACAATCAGTATTTTTACTTTCCCTTTAGTAAAATATGTGTTGACTTCTCAACAGAATTTGCAAAGTATATATGTTCTGGCTTTTATGCATAATTTTATGCATAATTTAACCCATGAAGCAAGGAGAGAATAGAACAGAAAAAAGTTACAGGTCCTCTGAGCATGCTTGGTAAAGAAGCTCCCATATTATATTAGCTTAGATGTCTATTTATCCTAATTAGTTTCCTGAGGTTAGGATAAGCATCATGAGATTTATGATCAACAGCCTGAGGTTTGGAGGAGTTTTGCACCCTGAATATAGCACCTGGCAACCACACAGGATTGCAACCTGAGGATGTAAAGAGGCTAAGAGCAAGTTTTCTGAAGGGTTGAGATTTATGAATATTATTAATATTTACCCATTTTATAATCAGATGGTTGGGTTATTGATACTCAAAGACTTGGTCCCACAGGACAAACACAGGCCCTGCTTTTACTGACTATAATGACCATTCAGTGTCTTCAGCACTTTACAGAAGTGACCCACAAATTCGACAGCAGAAAAATGTAACAAACGCATCAAAGTAGAAAAATCAAATGGAAAAATAACTTGAAATATATCATGTTCAATAAAGGGTTTAATACATGCATGAAGTTGAGTGGCTGAGAGGCTTTTTCATATGTATAATATTAGTACCACAGTTTCATACTCTTGCATGCTTCTTAACATGTATATCAAGAAACTGTAGTAAAAATATGGTAAAAAATGTAAAGCCTCAAGTTAAGTTCTCGGTTTTTAAAATTTATCTTTTTTCCCCCAGAGGCAGTGTCTACAGCTATCTCTTCACATTCTTTAACCATAATGCAGAGCTTCATAAGGGTCTTTGAGAAACCAAAATTAGAAGCATGAGTGATTCTATTTATATACTGGATAGTTGAGATGCTTTTAGAGTACAGTTGTAATTGTTCAAAGTCAAATGAGAATGTTTTTGAGAATATAGAGTTAATTTCACTTAGTTCTGAGTTGAAGTCTTATCCGGTTGGTTCAGTGACATGAATGAAATTTTATTTCAGAGCTCCAGCTGAACTAGAAATGTTTCCAGGAGAGCTAGTGACTCACAGGATGCGTCTACAATAAATTATTTGATTTAATACTCAAGATAAAGCTTTAAAAATTAATGTCATCTGGTCATGATATATCCTTGTAGTAGGTTACAGTGTGCAAGTGGGAAGCAAGTTATCCATTAGAGGATTAATGAATCATATGGTAATAATGCATAACAGTACTTAAGTTGTAATAGCATTTGCAAATACCTCACATATTTTTACTTTCTATCATAACACTTATTAGAGTAAGTGTGGGTTGAATACCACTTCCACCTTACAGGATGGAAGAGCAAGAGAGAAAGGTTCCAGTGGTTTTTCAGACAGTAAAATTGCTGTTAAGACTCAGAGTTCTCACACATTCTAGCTATAACTGTTTGCACTGTAACATGAACAGTTCTTAAATTTCTTATAACAACTAGTCCATTTCCATTTTTTTTTTTAGAAAATAAGACACCAATTTTGATTCAGTATAAACCTATGTGTTTGTCACTGCCTAGCTAGCTTGATCTACATGAGATGCAGCAGACTTTTGTTTTAACAAGATATGACCTTTGATATTAAGAGCATCTGGAGTCCTCTTCCTATTTGGGTTCTTAAAAGACAAGGTCATCAGATACAGTCCTTTTTCTATTTGAACATGAGTTATTTCATCATGGCAAGCCCAGGAACAGTTGGGGGTTACGTTCTAACCATTTTCATTCAGGTAAAACTTTAGCTGCGTGTAGTGTATTTTCAGAAATCATGGGGGATCATAAAATTTAGGGAAGTCAACATTTGTTAATCTTTGAACTGTTCAATATTATTTAATGGAAGCAGTCAATATGGGTTAACAGACTTTGAATGGGTTTCATGCACAACTAAAGAAAAGAATAGTTTGATACAGAAAATTGATTTCCAAGAAACTATGAAAGATTAATTACTGAAAAGACCTTACACTGAAAAGTAATGCATCGAAAATAGCATGGTTAGGCTAAACAATGGGGTTTTTTTCTAAATAATAGTTAAATTAATAGATAGTTAAATCAATCTGACAAATAAAACACAGAGTTTATTACTTTGCCCAGTCACTCCATTTCAGGAATGAATAAAGAAGGAAGGGATTGGAAAGTTCTTGTAGTGATGTTTCAAATTTATGCTTGCAGACTCAGGTCAGTCACTTCATAGTGGTGTGGTAATGCCTTTGTCATAAGCTGACTGGCTTCATGATTTAAAAAACCTACCTGTGATATAAGGAGATTGGTCAAAATGCAGAAATAGCTGGACTGCGTATAGAATCAGGCTGAAATAACTATTGGTCTTTAGTGAAAGAGCTTGTATGAATGTTTTGAAAAAAACCACAAAATACTTGGTAGAGCAATTAGCCTGAGCAGTGGTCCTTCAAACCCATGCATTGCCATGGCTGAACTTGAATTTTGTTCCTGTTTCAGAACTCCAGAAAGTCCCTGCACACATCATTTTTGCTTCAACATACTGATTGTCTAGAAAGCAAGAGGACTACACAGTTTGAGCAGCAGAGAGGACTGTGTGTTTCTACTGTGACTTAAGTTTTTGGGATAGATTGTTTCCTGGGCAAATAAAAACTGGATAAGGGAAGAAATAAATTCCCTGAGGTTTGTCTTACATGCACGAAGTTGATACTTAATTCATCCCATAGAGGGTACTTTGCCTGGCACACAGAAAGTGACCCCCGAGATAGAAGAAGTCCAAATCTTCCTCCTGAGTTTGGTTATGGAGCACAGGAATTCTGAAGGAATAGCTTTACCATATGTACTGGAAAGAACAAATACAAAACTCATACAAGTGCAAATAATAATATTGATAATTCAGACCACGATCTTGAAAGAGACCAGGCAGAACTCATTCTCTACCATGCAATCTTCTGTATGTTCTCAATCCTTCTGCTCCTACATATTTACAGCTTTTGTAGGTGTCAGGGGGCAAAGACATCTTCCCCTTCTTAGAGTAACTCATTAGTGACTTTTTTTCCTGCAAAGTCCATGTTCTACCCTTTTCTTTTTCCAAAAAGTTCATACAACTACACTACATTGCTGGAGGCACCACTGGAGTGACAGTGCCTGCATGTCCAAAGTGTCTGGCCTTTGAGGGCACCCAGGCACCTGGGGAAGAAGAGCAGTAAGAATATCTGTCCTGTCTGATCTTTCTTAGAGCAGAGGAGTGTCAGTGGGACACACACACACAAAAGTTTTCACATGTAAACACAGCAACAGGAAAAAACATCCCACAGATCGTGGTCTTCTGCCTTTTGTAAATCAGCATGTGTATCATTGTAAGTAGTGTACTCTAGTACCTGGACCTCTGATTCAGCATTTCCACAGGCAAATACTGATTCTGGGGTTTCCACATGACTAAAACCTGCTTAGCAGATTAGCACTAAAGCTTAAGGTCATATCATCCATGAGCTGGGAGGACCAGCATTTGATTCAGGAGAACCTAGACTTTTCCCTCGGCAGACTCTGCAAGCAGATACAGCCCTTGACCTCAGGCACATCCCAAAGTTGCTCTTGCTCAGCGTGTTATTTCTTTTGGACATGAGTATTCCTCAGAATGAGATGGATGGGCAAGAAAAACTGGAAAAAGTAGACCTTTGGTGCAACAAGGCACACATCCTTCTGGCTCAGCCTTCCTCCTCCCACTCATTGTGTGGGTATGTTCAGCTCTAGTCTCACATAAAGCCCTCACTTTTAATGCCCACAGGATACCATGGTGCAAGTGATTTGAGACTGATCCAGTATGCCTCAGAGGAAGAGTATGGAGAACCTGAAGGCCACCAGAGATAAGAACAAGGATTCACCCTTCACACATCCCTCAACTTTGGGCTATAAGGACCTGAGAAGGAACCATTTGAGGCAAGCAGGTTCCTAAAATCTGAGCCATGTGGTACATTCACAGGCCATGTGTGGTCATACTTCAGCTGGTGCCTGAGAGGAAGCATTGGAAGGACCTTGCTGAAATATCCCTAATAGCCATGATGTCCCCTGGGAAATGGATCAAGCTGATACTATCTCTGAGTGGAGAAATATGGAGATATAATGAATTTGATTATACAGCTGCTTGACAGGCAGATGCCAAAGGACCCTCAAAGGCCTATCCCTCAGCAAGGGCCACTTCATCTCCACTAAAGCATCCTTGCAGAGCAAACTGAGTAGAAAGAATTTTCTCTAACAGAGTAGCTTTCAAAAACTCTAATAGGCATGATAGAAAATACTTCCCGAACAGTTTATTTTGCTGATCTTCCTCTGAGGATACCTTTGCTCATTTTTAACTCAGTGGAAAAAATGTCTTTGTATATCAGATGCAGCATGTATAAAAAGACATGCATTATTTATGCATAAACCTTCTTTACTGAAACCTCTGGTTTGTGCAGATTTTTGGTTCTCTGACCTTTCCTTAACCTAATTTTTTATTTTGTTCTTAGAATGAAAAGCAATACTATATTTACTGAATTTTAATCTGCATGGGATTTGTACATTAAACTTTGCTATGTTAGAGAAAGCAGGTAATTTAGTAATCTAAAGTTTAAATAAATAAATAAAAGCCATTACCTCTATTAAAATGTGAATTATCAGCTGATCAACCCCTCTGTGGTGTTATTATGTCCTTGAACAAAATACATAATAAGTTTTAGTATTAAACTGATTTATTCACCTGTGGTAAGGAACAAACATAGTATTTATGCTTTTGACCTCAGTGGACATTCTGTCTCATTGTATAAACTTAAGTTGTCTCATTATATAAATTCTAAATGTAGTGCCTCTTCCTTGCACATTAACATGTTATTTAATAAAATAACTGACTAGTTATCATTCCTAAATGATGGAAGATTACTGGTATTTTTCAGGTTTGGACAAGTGTCAGCTTATTAGTTTCCCCTGATTTAAACTTTATCTTCATTCATTATTTAATCTGTTTTTCTTCCCTTCACCTGTGTTTTACCCTTCTGTTCTTTCCCATGCATCTCCTTTAAGACATTTTGAGTGACTATTTCAATAGAAGCTTTTTATAAAGTCGTATAGTTTTAAGACAGTATTGTCACCACAAATGTTATAGTGTTCATCACCTCTCTTCCAGGTCAATATTACTATAAATAAAGCTATTTTTGAGTTTAGTTCAGATCACAATTAGCTTTACATTCAACACATGAAGACCTAGGATAAGAACACATAAATTTTTTTTTTGTCCTATAACATTCACTTACCACATAAAGCAGCAACACATAATCGTGTCTTCCTGATCTTGCATTAAGGTTCTGTTGGGAAAATGCCACTATGATACAAGTTATGTGCTAGCATAACTGAGGGTTTTGTATAGGAGACCTGAACAACATGCAGATTTGATGGCCACGTCTGTTTTCAGCTGTGTCTCCCTGCAGTCTGCTCCCAACACAGCTCACTGTATGTATTGCAGGAAGCATGGCCTCACGATTTTTTTAATACAGACGACCTTCAAGTCTGTGTTTTCCAGTCCTCTGGAAAACAAAGAAAACTTGGCCTTGAACACTGCGTATTCAATCACACATCAAATATCCAGGTCTGCTTTAGTTTGTTTTTTTTTACATTGCAAAGACTTACTCAGTTCAGCTTGGGCAAGAAATTACAGTACATTAAGTCAGTATGTTCACTAGGATGGCTTCTGTGAGATGTGGGATCAGGGGTTTCAGTTCCCATACCAATAACTTCAACGAAGTATCCCAAATTTTTTTCTTACTAAAATTTAGTCTTTCTTACTGCATTTAGTCAAAACAGCCTTTGTCATTAATAATAATTTATATCTATTGTGCACATGAAATTGTGGGTAGTAATTTGAAAAGAATTTTAAAAAATCAAAAAGTATAAATTTAATTGGCTGATAAGATTTTACAGACAGAAGGTAAAAGTCAATCCCTTTAATTTCTCATATTTGAGCAAAATACGCTCCATAGAGACATCGAGCATGCCCTAAAGTTCAAAATCAGACTCTCAGGGCAGGTTTTCGAATAAATTCTCAATTTATGGCTTTTAGTAAGCTCTGCATTTAGTTTAAATTTGGAGATTGTTAATTCATATGAAAACTGGCTCTGACATGTTAAAACGTAAGGAAATAGCTAAAACTGAAGCTTTCATGAAAAACACCATTTTAGCCTTGATTTTCCTGTACTATCAAGAAGCAGGAGCAATTCTTGTATGTTTTTCTTCCAATGAATTTGGTAATAAGTTACAGACTAAGAAAAATGATAAATTACTGTCATAAGCTACCAGAAAGAAACGTTGCTGTGTGTGCATACACCTATACACTACAGTACTTTTTCATGTGAGCGTGCACATTCAAACCCCCAAAGAATACTTTGTCTCAGCACTTGTGCCTTCAGAGAGTGTGAAGGCAGCAGAAAGCACAAGCTGAATGAATAGGGGCTGAAGAAGTATGCTTGAATTTAGTATTTTAATTTTTTTTGTTGTTGTTGTTGTTGCCCGTGGGCTAAAGAAATCTGTAAATTAGGGAAAGACAGAAATACCTCTCACAGCTACGTGTTCATTTGTAAAGGTCAGCTTCTGTGACAGGATCTTCAAAAAGAATCTGCAGAGCAACCACAATTGATGAGAGACAAAATAAAATAACTAAACTTGTGCATCACAATAAGCAGTGCTTGGTTTTAAACTTCATTGTTGTAAATAAACAGACATGATCTTGCAACCTCTGTCATCTTCATCACAGTATTATAAATAACTGTTAGATCACAACATCCCAGAACAGAAGATTTTTTATTTAGTATTTGCAAACTGTCAGTCTTATTAACAATCACAACTGTGCACAGTTTTTTTCTTCAGGCCCAACATCATATCATTGTCCTAACAAAAATGCAGCAACATTCAGTTTGTAAGTGGCAAAGTGACTGTTTACAAAGTAAACATTTTAGGAAACACTAACGTAGGAAACATCCTTCCAACAGAGGCAAAAAGCTTGTTTGAAACTGATGCAAGTTGGGGATGCAATGATTTGAGCAGGCAGGCTGCAGTGCAGGATTGGTACCAAAGAACAGGCTAAATATGCATGTCCCAGACTTTTGTCTTCAGTGTTTCAAATCACATATGACCCTGGTTTTATATCGAGCAAACTTCTTAGTGATAAGTCAGGACAACATCAACCTCAGCATGTTGTGACTGGTTTCAATTGACTAGAGGAAAAAAAAGCACAGTATTTTCAGGATGCCTCAGTCATATAGTAACTGAAAGCTTTGCTTCCTGATAAAACAAAACCAGCTTTTCCTAGGTCTCTAATTCCATCTCTTTAAATGTTAATTTACAGTAATTTTTCTTAATATAGGCCTATAATGGTGACTGTAACGATGGCTTCATGTTTCAGTGAATACCAGCTTTGTTTTGTTCCGTATTCAATCTCTCTGGATGATGTTTTATTATGCACATTCACGGAAGTCAATGTCTGTTTGTTATTTCAGTTTTATATGTTACCAAGCCTGAACACAGAGAAATTAAGTTGTTAGCTCTATTATGATACCATTTGGATTTGAAAAAGAAAAGAGAGGAAAGCATAATAGGCCAAAAAACCACACAGAAATTCATAGTGACAAGCATTAGGAGACTGACTGCAGCTCAAAGAATGAAAAACATTTGCAACAAAATAGAAATAGAAGGAAGCTTTTTAGAGGCATTGAATTTACAAAACAAAAACAAAAACAAAAAACCCAAAACATTTACAGAAGGAATTAAATACTCTAAAGAACTTCTGGGACAAAAAAAAAAAAAAAAAAGAGAAACTGACTGGAAAACCTTGTCAGATTTAGGGATATATTCTAATGAGTATTCATATTGAATGCTTGGGAGAAGACCCCATCAAGTGATTCAGTCAGAACAGTCAGGGGTGACCCAGGCACAAGTAGCCTCTGGAAGGATGCACCAGGGAAATGTAGAAGGAAGTGCACTGCAGAGCTGACATGCAGTAGTCTCTCACTGACACAAACCTGGCAGCCATTAACTGGGACATACAACCTGCAAGTGGATCTCTCTCAGAACTGAAATTGCCAGGTGCTGAGCCATGGAGATTGAGGTTGCTCCCTCACTGACAAGGTAAAGAGGCTACATGTGATTTCAGCATCCCCGAATTATCTCAGTTAGTCAACTCGATACTGCTAAGTAGCAGATAGAATCACTTCAGACAACATTGAAATAGATTCTTTTCTTATTTGAGAGAACTAACTTTTAGGGCCTCAAGTAATTTGTTGTGCAATTAGCATGGTTGTGAACACAGTCACTTTGAAAGCAAGCTAACGAGAGTTGTCCCTTTATAGCCTCCTTAAGTGAGAAATAAGATACTTTCTCTTAATTAATCTACTTGCTTTCTGCTTTTCAACTTCAAGAGAAAACACTTGCAAAATTGGCTTAGATTATGTTGTATTTCATTGTACTTTTAAAATATTACTTTAATAACTATTTCTTCTGAAAACTGATGATCACTTCTGCAGCGTCATCTGAAATGAATGAGGAAACAGTACTAACAGTGTTAATTATTTTCTTTCCAAAGAACCCTGAATTTTTTCCAAACAGAAAAGTTGCTGCCAAGAGTACTGGCAAGCTAGTGACGGGTAAACAAGAAGCCCACCCTCTTTGACACTGGCATCACAAGCAAGACAGAGTATTTGCTGGGCTTTACCTGCCAGGGCATCCAAATTCCTGTCAGATTATACCATACTTAGACTTATGAAAGAAGTGTACCCAGTCCTAGTCAGAAAACCTGCCTGCTTTTATGTATCGCACAAACAGAACAGTTTGTAATAAGTAATAAAGATGGAGTGTAAAGTACTATTTTGTATATGCTTTGCAGGGATTTAACAATTTACTAAAGGGCAGTGAGGTCTCTACTAAGCAGAATAATTGTTAAAGTGTTGGGGAGTAAAAGGAAGAAGAGAAATATTATGTTGTCTGCTGAAAGTCTTATTAATGTTATTCATTAATAGAGAAGGCAATAACCCATGATTTTTACATTTTAAAATACAACTGTGAAGCTTGAGTTTATTTTTTATTCTATCTTGTGCTTTTTCAGGAACAGGATGCAGAGGATTTGCAAATGTGCCACCAATACTTCAGCACCCCGTAAAGGAGAAAACTCCTTAGAAATTGTAGCTCTCTCAATTCTCAGCTAAGTTTTAGCACACGTTGGGATTTGCTGCTATAATCCACCAATCTATCCTTCTGGTAAATGAACTGTTGCAGGAGATACAAGAGTATCACATATCAACTACTGATGGTTTTCAAACACTACATTCACTTTCACAAAATCCATTCAGTAAAATTCTCTCTATTCAGTTCAGTTTCTAAGGTGTAAAATATATGGGTATTATTTATGTGCCAATGGAAGCACATTTAGAAATTAAAATTCTGCTGTGTGACAAAGACAAGCTACAAAATCACCACAGATTTATGAAAGAGAAATAAACGAAGCTAAAAATAGTATTGATCCAAAGATTTACAAGCATAATATATTCCGTAAACCATGTTGCAAAA